GGTCGCAGGTCCGTGACTGTGCGCCGCGAAGCCGCTGCCGCTATGCCGGTCACTGGGAAGACCTTCCGCCGGCGCCGGGCCGACTCTGAGTCGGAGGAAGATGAGCAAGATTCGGAGGAGGTTAGGTGCGTCTCGGACGGGGTTTCACAGGCCAGGCAGAGAGAGACCGGCCTGGGTAGGCTGGCCAGCGCCCGGTTGCCTAGCGCAGGTCCGTGACTGTGCGCCGCGAAGCCGCTGCCGCTATGCCGGTCACTGGGAAGACCTTCCGCCGGCGCCGGGCCGACTCTGAGTCGGAGGAAGATGAGCAAGATTCGGAGGAGGTTAGGTGCGTCTCGGACGGGGTTTCACAGGCCAGGCAGAGAGAGACCGGCCTGGGTAGGCTGGCCAGCGCCCGGTTGCCTAGCTGACACAATGAACTGCGAGCAGGGCTTCTAGTCCTGCCAAGAAGTGGAGGCCCCTGGGGGTGAGGCCGCCGTCCCGCGAGAGGTGCCCGAGGAGGGATCTCACCCCCGGGGGTCCTGGGCGCGAGGGGAGCCCGCGAAAAGCCTGCTGCTCTGGGTTCTGGGCGAGATCTCTCAGCCTGCGCCTTTACCGCCTTTCAGATTGAAGCTGGAGGAGACCCGAGAGGTACAGAACTTGAGGAAGAGGCCCAACGGGGTGAGGTGGGTCCCGCGGGCGGGGCGGGGCGGGGCGGGGGCAGGACAGCGACGCCCCCAGCCCGGCTCATCCCAAGTTCTCGGACCTGGCCCTTCTCTTGGCCCACGTACAGCTTCTGGGGAACAGCGTGCCTTGCAAACGTTGAACCTCAAAGTGCCTTGAGCCCTTGCTCCTGGGGCACAGAGACAGGTCACCAACTCGCCTTTTTATTGCACCCAATTCATTGTGAAATACATGCCGACTGTAAAAATTTGAAAAATTTAGCAGAGTCTGTTTCTTTTGTAAAGATTGTGAGCAACTGCATATGTACTTTTAGCCCTGCTTTTTTTTTTTTCAACTTATGACACTGTGGGCATTTAACCTATTGTGGAATATTTTCCAGGAAACGTTTGTTTTATTTCATGGTATTGGTAATTGAACCTAGGACCCTTGCCCTAAACTACGTTGCCATTCCTTTTTTAATAAATTTTGTTTGTTTGCTTGTTTTAAGGGGCATATTCTTTATTTATAAGGCTGGTATTATTTATGTATGTATTTATTTAGTTGTTTGAGGCTTTTTTTGTTTTGTTTTTTTACCAGGGATCAAACTCCGGTCCTTGTGCTTGTGAGGCAGGCAGCAGCACCACAGAGCTACATCCCCAGGAGTTTTTAAAATTTGAGACAGGGTTTTGATAAGTTGTCCAGGGCAGGTCTGAACTTGTAACCCTGCTACCTTGGCTTGCCAGAATTCTGGGACTCTTGGCAAGTACCACCACACCAGCTCTGAAAACTCCTTTCGTAGCTATGTAATACTTCACCAGATGTAGGACCATACTTTGTCAAGAAACTTCCTTTGTAGACCATTTTGTAAATGTTCACCATCAAAAAAGGCTTTAATGGTCTGTTACTTGTGCGTTTTGCTGCACTTATCTCCAAGTCACGATGATGTCCAGTGGATTTATAGGAAAGTGCATTACTCCACTTCACACCCCAGGACCATGCTGCCTGGTGAACTGCCCTGTTTTGTTCTTGTATTCTGCTCCAGCTGGCTCTGCTGCCATCCCTCCAGCCTGGCCCTCGCAATAATGGTGCATTTTACAAACCTCCTTCCATTCCTCCTCCTTGTATCTGTTTTTGTGTTTTGTTTTTTGTTTTTTGAGACAGGGTCTCACCATGTAGTTGAGACTGACTTGGAACTCACCATGTAGCCCAGGCTGGTCTCGAACTCACAGCGATCCTCCTGCCTCAGCCTCCCGAGTGCTGGGATCACAGGCGTGCGCCACAACATCCGGCTCTTCCTCCTAACTGAACTGTACCATTTCTCTTCTTTTGTTGGCTTTGCTCAGTGCTGCCGCCCTGCTGGTGGGCGAGAAGGTACAGGAAGAGACCACTCTAGTGGTAAGTTCCGGATCCTCTGTGCAGCTGCTCTTCTGTGGGTGTTGTGTTTCCTCGGGCACTAATGATCCTACTGCCATCGCCTTGGGGTGCCTCTAAGCTGCCTGTGCTTTGTGCAGGACGACCCCTTCCAGATGAAGACGGGCGGCATGGTGGACATGAAGAGGCTGAAGGAAAGGGGCAAAGATAAGTAAGTGCGGGGCCTCTGAAATGCCAATTCTCTGCAGCCTCTGCCCAGGTCTGAGCGTCCTTGGAGCCGGGGCTGCAGCAGAGCCTTTCGGGAACGTCTGGAAGTGACCTTTGTGCCTTGTGCTAAAGGGTGTGTTGTTTAAAAACAGAAAGGCTGGTTGGCTGTAGCTCTGTGGTGAAGCACTTGTCTGGCATGTGCATGGCCCTGGGTTTGATCCCCAGCACCACAAAAACAAAACAGAACTCTAAAGATCAGATAGCCAGGCATGGTAGCATGTGCTTGTAGTACCAGCACTTGGAAGGCTGAGGCAGGAGGGCTCCTTCAAAAAGTGTGTTATTCGTTTCTTTCAAATCCATGTGGAAGTTTTGTACTTAAATTTACAAAAATAATACATCCAAATATTACAAGTTTTTAAAAATCAGTGTCACCAGGTGGTGACACCAGGGGCCAACTGTTTGCTTACCGAAGTTCCGGGAGTTCTTACACACGTCCAACCATGGATGGGATGTTTATGCTCTTTCTCATGACCTGGTTTCATTCTCATGACAGTCGCCTCCCTGCGTGGTGATGTGGACGCTCTGCCTCACCGTTGTTTCCTTTCAGGATCAATGAGGAGGATGACCTGCACTTGGGGACATCGTTTTCTGCAGAAACCAACCGGAGGGACGAGGACGCAGACATGTAGGTGCCAGGTGCTGGGCTGTGAGTGAGGGGCTGGGACAGTGAGATATGTAGTCAGGTTTTATCACAGATGACATTTCTCGAATTTTAGAAGATGTTACCCAACCTCACAGGCTTGAGCACTTTGCAGACCTCTAAAGAGTTCTTTAGCCAGGGATAGTGGTACACTTTTGTAATTCTGGGTACTTAGGAGGCTGAGGCAGGAGGATCACTTGAATCCAGCCTAGGCAATGTAACAAGATCTTATGTGGGGGAGAGAATTCTTTAAAACAGTAGTGTTTGAGCTGGGTGTGGTGGCGCACACCTGTAATCCCAGCACTCCGGAGCCTGAGGCAGGAGGATCGCTGTGAGTTCGAGACCAGCCTGGGCTACATAGTGAGTTCCAGGTCAGTCTCAACTACATAGTGAGACCTTGTCTCAAAACAAAACAAAACAAAAAACACAGTAGTGTTTGGGCTGGGGATTTAGCTCAGTGGTTCCGCCGCCTGCCTCACAAGCTCAAGGTCCCGAGTTTGATCCCCGGTACCAAAAAAAAAGGATTCGGGTTCTCTTCATTTTGTGTTCTCCATGGGATGACGGCACAGCCTGGCCGCTGGCCGAGCAGGTGCCTGTGCGCTCCCCACCCGCCCTGAGGCTGCGGTTTCCCTTCTCAGGATGAAGTACATCGAGACGGAGCTGAAGAAGAGGAAGGGGATCGTGGAGCACGAGGAGCAGAAGGTGAAGCCCAAGAACGCGGAGGACTGTCTGTACGAGCTCCCCGAGAACATCCGCGTGTCCTCGGCCAAGAAGACGGAGGAGATGCTGTCCAACCAGATGCTCAGCGGCATCCCCGAGGTGGACCTGGGCATCGAGTGCGTGCGGGCCACGGCCGGGTCCCATTCCTGTTGTCCCCCGCGCTCCCAGGAGTCCTTGTGCTCACCCTTTCCCTGGTCCTCTTGGGTGTAGCATGAAGCCCCTCTCCCTGAGAAGCGTTAGGGAAGCGCGGTGGCCAGCGGCAGCTCTGGGCAGAGCAGAACCAGGGGACTCTGGGTCCTTGCCTCTTTTGGTTTCAGGAAGCTCACTTCTCTTCTTGGCGCTTGATTTCCCACTGGCCAAAAAGAGGAGCAGCTGCTGCTCTCCCCTGGCTGTGAGCACTGTCAGGCGTGTGACTGAGCTGGGTGTGATGGTGCACATGGCCTAGCACTCGGGAGGCTGAGGCAGGAGGATCTATCTCCATGAGTCTGAGGCCAGCCTGGGCTCCATAGTGAACCCTGTCTCAAAAAAGGAAGAGTGACTGGGGAGCTGGGCGGAGAGCTGGGCTGGCCTGGCTCCTTACAGCACAGAGCCGCCAGCCGCACAATCAGCTCCATCTGCAAGAAAGGCATGGGGGTCTGATACCGGCTCTCTGCCCGCAGTGCTAAAATCAAAAACATCATCTCCACGGAGGACGCGAAGGCCCGCCTGCTGGCAGAGCAGCAGAACAAGAAGAAAGACAGCGAGACGTCCTTCGTGCCCACCAACATGGCCGTGAACTACGTGCAGCACAACCGATGTACGCACCCCGTCCCCACCCACTGCCGCGCGTCGGGGCGAACCCGCCGTCTCACGCGTTCTGCCCTCTCCTCTCACTCTAGTTTATCACGAGGAGCTCAACGCTCCCACCCGGAGGAACAAAGAAGAGCCCAAGGCGCGGCCCTTGCGTGTGGGCGACACGGAGAAGCCGGAGCCGGAGCGTGAGTGTGGCCAGGCCTGTCTGGGGCTGTGCGGGGTCCGCCCGACCCTGTGCCTCGCCCTTTCCAAGCCCCGCTCTCCTGATGTATGGGCTGGAGGGTTAAGACCGCTGCGCACTCAAGGCCAGCCTGGGCGAGACTCTCAAAACCAGAAAGGAGGGTGGGGTTAGCTCAGTGGTGCCGCACCTGCCTCAAAAGCGCAGGGTCCCGACTTCGATCGTACGATAAATGGAAGCTGCTCACAGATGACAGGTATTTCCCGAGGGCCCTGCGCTGCCCTGCACCAGCCTGGCAGGGGCCCCTGTGCGGTGAGGTAGCCTGGCCCCGCCTTTGTGTGCTTGGTGACGGCCGGTTCTGTCCCATCCTCAGGGTCCCCGCCTAACCGCAAGCGTCCAGCCAACGAGAAAGCCACTGACGACTACCACTACGAGAAGTTCAAGAAGATGAACAGGCGGTACTGAGGCTGCTGCGAGGCCGTGCGGAGCCCACTGCTTCCCCACAGCACAGTCCCCAGACAGAGAGCGCGGCTGCTGCCGCCGCCAGGGGTGTCAGCCACTGACTGGGACCTTTTGCAGCAAGGCGATGTGTAGCTGCCCCATTGGAGGCAAACTTATTTCCTATGAGCATATTAAATTTTGTTTGTAAATACCTTGACTTTTTTTTTTTTTCTTTGGCACTGGGCATTGAACTCAGGACCTTGAGCTTTTGAGGCAGGCGCGGTGCCCCTGAGCTAAGGCCCCAGCCCTCGTTGACTCTCAGTGTTTGTTCTGGGTTAGGAAATAGCTGTGCATCCGTGAGGCAAAAGCACCCTTTAGATTCTGCCTTTCAGGTTGCATATGCAGCCAGGCATGGGGGTGCAGGCCTGTGTTCCTAACTCTCGGACCCTGAGGAGGGTCTCAAGTTTGAGCCCAGCCTGGGCAACTTAGCCAGAGCCTGTCTCAAATAAACAGAAAAGGGCTGGGGATGAAGCTCAGTGCAAAGGCCTTGGGTTCAATCCTTAGTGACTGCAAAAAAAAAGGCATCCGCTGTTGAGAGTGAGTCCGACAGGTGGCAGAGAAATGTAGCATGAAATCAGGTATACTGGGATTTTCAGAGTTTTACAGTTACATTTCATTAAAGAGAAAGGAACACTTCATTCTCACTCCAAGAACTTCATTATTAAATACAAATTGAATCCAACCTTGTTTGAGTGGTCTTATGCCAACATCGGTCCAGAGACTGGGCTGGGCGAGAAATGTAAACTGGGTGTCCAGGGCCGACCCTCCTTCCACGCAGAAGGCAGGTGCCGACCCACGGAACTCCGGTGCCCGCTCTGCTGGGCCGGGGAAGGGCACACAGCGGACTTCGGCGGGTGCAGGGTGCCGCCCCAACCTTGGATTTGGGCCACTGCACCCGTATTGGACACATTTATCAGACGCACAGGATAAGCAGGGGTTGTCGGGCCTGTCACAGCCCTGGAACCAGGCCCCAGCACACACAGGGCCGGCTGGACGAGGATGCACAGGGTGCACGTCACCTGCTGGCCAGCATGAGTGGCCCTGCTGAGCTTGGACGTGGCTGGCAGAGGGTAGGAGCCAGATTTCTCCCTGCCGGGTTGGGAAGTACAGGCAGCAGGGGAGGAAGCAGGAGGGACCCACAGATGTCAGTGGGAAGTCACGTCTGGCTTAAGAGAGCTACAGAGGGCTACCAATGGCGATCTTTAGGCGCAAGTGCGCATGCTGGCGGCGCACGCTCCAATCTTCGCTGTCAGCCGAAGCCTGAAGACACCGCAGCAGGCGGCACACTCAGCACCCACGTCCGGGTTCCTAACAGCGCCCTCCAGGACAGGGAAGCAGGGCTCCATGGGCCAGTGGCTGACTCTAGAGCCAGGACACCATGGTGCCAGGAAGTGAGGAGGCGCTCAGAACAAACCCCAGTAAACACATCTGCGCACGTTGGTGTGTCAGGAGCACGGGGACCCGCTGACACACGGAGCCCAAAACTGGTGTGGATTACAACCCAAAGTATACAACAACCCAGGGCCGTGCTGACGGACCCACTGAACACGTGAGGGGAAGAGACAAACCTCTCACTGAGAACCCTTCTGAATGACCGCTGCAGCTACTCTGCCCTTGGTGAGGCCAAGGGAGACCTCCCATCCCCAATGTGAGCCTTGCACGGTGACTTCCTTCCTGAGCACAGCGGGAGGAAGGGGCGACGCCAACAGCAGGTCCCCGAGGTGCAATGCAATACAGCAGCACCGAGCCTCTGGGCTCCCTCTTCCCAAGCCCGTAGCTCTCTAACTCTGAGAAAAACAGGCAAATCCCGAAGAGAGGCCTCTTAGGAGACTGGAGCGCTGCAGATGTAGCCGTAGAGGTGCATTTTTCGTAACAAAGGTAGCATACTAATGTGATTGGGGGGAGGTGAGACAGGGTCTCACTATGTTTTTTTTTTTTTGGTTTTTTGAGACAGAGTCTCACTGTGTAGTTGAAACTGACCTGGAACTCACTATGTAGTCCAGGCTGGTCTCGAACTCACAGCGATCCTCCTGCCTCAGCTTCCCGGGTGCTGGGATTACAGGCGCCACCATGCCCGGCTTAACGTAAGATTTTAATAATGGGAAAACTAGTAGGATGGTATATGGCTACCTTCTGAATTATCTTTTCAACTTTTCTGTCCTAAAACTGTTCTTTAAAAGTAAAGTCTGAAAAAAAAAGTCTGGGCTGGGGATTTAGCACAATGGTTCTGCCAAATGCTTTGCAAGTGCAAGGTCCAGAGTTTGATCCCCGGTACCATAAAAAAATAAACGGAGGGAGGGAGGGAGGAAGGAAGGGAGGAAGGAAGGAAGCAAGGAAGGAAGGAAGGAAGGAAAGAAAGAAAGAAAGAAAGTCTGTTATTTAAAAACAGAAAACGTGATCAGGAACAGACTGCCCCAAACAACCCTTCCGAAGTGGAAAAGAGTCCTGCCCCTAACAAAGATGGCAGCCTCCGGAGTCAGGAGGAGACCTGCCCGGAACAAAGA